TCAGACTGCAACGAGAACTAGTAGATGAAAAAGACATACATTAATCTCTTTGGAATCATCTTCATCTATCCTACTGGGCTTCATTTTAGTGTAGTCCACTGGCAAGTCCCAGCAGTCACCCTCATTCAGTTGGTAACACCGGTTATTCATCACGGCTTGCCGTTGCGGGGACATTGGCTCCAGTGGTGTCAAAATGGTACAGCAACCATCTCGCTGCCTCTGCTTGTTCATGCTCAGATCCAACGTCCCATTTTCATCGACTTCCATATCAGGATTCTGTCAAAATAAGAAAAATATTGTTAATTCGGCTTCACCCTAGCAAACTGTTACCTCTCTGTGTTCTTCAATCTGATTGCCTAGCAGAATGATAAAACGCTTTTCCATTCCTGTATAGATTGTAAGCATTGAGCCCCCTCCCACACATAGCATGATGCTGTTACACAACATTAATGCTGTTAAAGTAGATTTCTTCTTGAATGGCTAATCTGATGTTTGGGGGGAAGAGGGGAGAGTCGTCATTACCCCTCCTGCCACCTGCCACACAGGTGCAAAACTGGGAATGAAAAGGAGAAATCTCTAAAGGTATTTTCTTGTCGCTGTCTTTATGCTCTTGATTTATTCTGTGAGAGGTATCTATGACTTAACATCTGCATAATTCTTGTTTCCAGTCCTGACACCTGCCTGGGTGACTGGGGTAACAAAAAGCAGCTAGCATCAAATAATCTTTGTTTCTTTGTTTATTTAACACTAACAGGCAATGCTTGAATAGATCATGTCAGAAAATTAAACAGGGAGGTAAGGTACCAAAACAAGTTCTTTCCGACACCATTTGCAAACAAGGATATACATTCAAATTTCACAGTTCCTTCCCTGCAAATGTAAATGTATTAACATTTCATGTATCTATCTTTATAATCAATAAATTTAGGTAGCGGGATAGTTGCAACAATAGTTGTGCCAATTTCTGCGGCAGCTGAGGTACTGTGAAAAATAGGGTGAGTATGGGCACTGACTTCTTTTGTACAAGCAAGCCAGGGTTGGCTATTATACTAGGTGAGGAGAAATAAGATACCTTAAAACAAAGACAAATTTTAAAAAACTAAGGGCATAAGGAAATAAAAATGCCCACAGAGAATCCCTCATCTTTTCAAAAATGAAACGCTTCACAAGAAATTTCGTTTCAAAACTAATGTGAATGCGACCAACTCCTGGTATGTCTGGCGACTTTCTCTCCTCTGGAGTAACAACAGAGCTGCGGAAAAGCACTGTGAATGCAAATCTCTCTTTCTGAATTACTGCCTTTTGTCAGAGCATATATCTAATTGCTGCTATCCTGCTAATTTAATTTAGAAAATACTTGTTTATCTTCTCAGATTCATTCCTTCAGTCTCAATATAGAGTGGCACATTAGGAAAGAGGCCTCTTCTGGTTTTGACACAGAAGATTTTTAGCATTTTATTCCAACTTTTTCTATAGTGTTGATATAGCGTACAACTGTATTTATTTATATGCCAGAAAGAGATTTCCCTCTTGAACAGTATTAAATAAATTAATGTAAAAAAGCAGCATTTGAAAACAAAGTCACCAGCCATTCTGGCTTAAATCATGATTATTACTAATACCTACTGCTGCCGGTTTAGTTTGTTATGAATGATCAAGGGGCTTTACAGGATGAGGGGAAGAAAACCTTTGTCTATATGTAGAAGAACAGAACATGTCTGCCAGCTCAAAAGCTCTTCTATAAGCACAATAAAAATGTTTCCTCTGCACTGCATCTGTCTACTTAGCCATCTAGTGGTCTCCTATAGGTAACACCGCAGTGTTTGCTGGTGCGTGTTAAATACTCATTTCTTAACAGCTATCAGAGTCGAAACTTAATGTTTGTAATGAAAAAAAAAATCTTGGGGTAAATCTGTAATGAATTTTAATAGTGCACTCTTTTTCTTCATATATAAAGCTCAACAACAAAAGCTTTTATTTGTACCTGTATAGTCATTTCATAACACACTGAGGCTCTGTGAATATACAGAACATCAGTGACCCTGCACTACTGTTACACACATTTAAAGTCACCTGTACTGGAGGATTTGTTCATTTCAAATGTGTTATGCAGTGACTTAAGAACAGTGATAGCACAGACAGGCAAGAAATTATAACATACAAGTACCATAGATTTCTTTGTACTAGATCTTACAACCTCAGGTCCCATTTGTGACTTTTAAATGAAAATGCATCATTAAATCATAATCTTTTCACAAAATGTATGAATCAGGCTGTGTTTAGCAAAAAAATCAGTAATGCAATTAATACCGCTTGAGCAACCCGAACATCTTTTATAATTCTAGATCTCGCTAGTAAGAGACAAAAAAAGGAGTACATGCTATCAGTATCATCAGTTTATATATCGATCAAGATTTCCTGAGATACTTGTGAGCAATTTGCATCTTTCTTTTTTTTTTTCCCTCCCTGCTTTAGCAGATTATGTTAATTTTGAGGAAAAGGGGAAAAAAAAAAAAAAAAGCAAGATGTACTACAGCTATTCTTCTATCTATCAGGGCCGCAGAGCACGTGCAGTAAAGAGAAATCTTCATCAAGAAACAGAATTACTCATTTTTACCCTCGCACAGAGATCCTGAGGCTTAGTGGAGAGGTTCTGAGGCATCTCCCTGCAGCGAGTGGAGAGATTCAGAATAGCAGTAGCAGCCATGTGCGCTGCCTCCATGTCATGAGTATAGTCAAAGCTGCTCTTGCTGCAGGTACTGCTGGCACTGCTGCCTCCACCACAACTCATATTGCTGCTGCTGCTAGGGGCATAACTGCTTGTTGTGCTGCTGGTTGGACTTGAATTCTTACAGTAGCGTTTAGCTGTGGGAAGAAATATGACAAGGATGACTCAAAAGAACGAGCATTCTGCAGAAGTAAAGAGAAAAACAAACTGCTGGAGGTGAAATTTATAATGAGCAACAGGAACCGATGCAAAAAAAAAAAAAAAAAAAAAAAAAAAGAAAAAGCCGGCAGTAAGAATGATGGCTGTATTTCTTGATTTCTGGCTGTGACTCTTATATGCTACATATGTGAGTTTGTATGAAATAACCTCCTGTAAAAATCTGCATGACGTGATCATGAATTGTTCTGACAAACAGGCTGTATTTAGAAAACAATAAAAACACAGAAACACTGCTTTTACCCCACATATATAGTCAGACAGAAGGTAGGATCTGCGCAGCTCATTAGTTTTTATTAATGAGGGGCAACATAACACTATGGGACCTTTTCATATTTACATGAGCAAACTGTTAATTTAAGGCCTAGACTCCTCAGAGCTGCTGGAGATCAAGCCCACTGTAAGACTGACAGGCTCGGTCTCTGGGCCCCAGTGCTCCCCATATGTCCTCAGACACCCCATGCTTCCTAAAAGGGTTCTTCTTCCTACATGGCAAGCAATTATTACGACACTGGCCATCGGAAAGGAGAGGAACGTGATGGAAGAAGAAAGGTGGTGGTCACATGTGAGTTTTACCATGGCTTGCACAAAGGCAAAAGCAGCGCCTGTATAAATGGAGACAGATATAAGCGAAACATCCCCACCTTCAAACAACCCGAGCACCTACAACTCTTCATAAAAGCGGTAAGGACCAAAGACACACAAAAAAAGGACAGCGGCACGCGGCCGGGCGCTGACCCACAGGAGCCGCGAGCGGTCACGGAGAGCTAAGGCACTGACAAACCTCACATCCAGCCTATCTAAATACAAAGCAGCACTGTTGCCATTTCTAAGAAATGCTCCTTGTGGCCGAAAGTATTATAGTAATAATGCAAACAGCCCTATTAGCCCACTTATTTCTCCAACCCTCTTCCCAAATAAACCGTTTTAGAAGTGTTTATATAAAATGCAAGAAAGTGTCAGCTCGTCTCCTAAATCTAAAAGTTTATGTATTTTCATAAAAAAACGAAAGTCAAGGTCAGAGGATACACAACATGCATGTTAGCGCGACTACTTCCCCTGAAGATGGAAATCTATACTGCAGAGATCATACCATATAGCACCGTATAACAATAACCAAGTAGCATGCTGATTAGAGAGCTATACAAAAAAGGTCAGGCCCTAGCTAGAGCTCCTCCGTGATGGGCTCCATTTAAATGCCAGACTCTTCAGGTGTATTTGTCTGAGCAAACATACATATAATAATCTGCTCCCATGAGCACAGCCCATTTGTGAACCACAGGCTGCTTTGGTAGGCAGGCAGAGTTCAAAAGAAGAATCTGAAAGCAAAGTATCTCTTCTAGAGCTTATGTCATCCTCCTTTCTCTAAAAAACTGAAAAAAAATCATGGCGTTATTTGTACTGTAAAGGAAATAGTGTTTCACTTAATTCGTAACAGATGGAGTTTTCTCAGGAAAGCCACATAATGCACAGGGTGTGATTTTTTTAAGTGAAGTGAATGCTAAACATTCATCACATTTCTTTGTTTTGAATACATAGTAGCACTACTCTAGCAGGGTACCCACTAATAATAAACCTGTGAACTATTTCTCAAGAGTTTCGTTATTAATATAGTAGTCAGTGGCATTCATTAAAAATTCAGCATTTATCCATTGTTACTTTGTAACGGTATCCAAGACACACAAGAATTTTCCTATACTTAAGGAAGGAAATAATTGAATAATTCAGTTTCTACTGTGTTAACACAGCAAGTACCCTGTACCACTGAACTTGTCAAGTTAGAAATATCTTTCAAAATTCATATGAACAAATAAGACTTCTGTCACTTGCAAGAATGTTAGTCTTGTTATAGCCAGTCACATTTAGACAGACATAGAGATACACTGCACGGGAAATTATATATATGAGAATGTGTGCTGGAG